TACGTCACGATAATTATACAAAAAAAAAAAAAAAATACATTTTAAAAATATTGAATTTCTAACCTATAAAATGGTATATAATGATGTAATTTTTGATAGTGTATTTTTTTTTTTACTTTTGTCCACAACCTGGCCCGCTGTGCACAGTGAGCATTTTTAAAAGTTAGTTTAAATCTAATCTTATTTAACTGTTTCTTTTTTTTTTGTATTTTGGGATTAGGTACAAGTAGTTTCTTTTTTTTTAGCATCACAGACAGATAAACCGAACAATGATATTGTGACCCTAAAAGAAGTGAAAAAAGCTATTCAACTAAGCATTGATGCCGACTTATCTAAACAAAATTGAAAATGAGTTAAATACATTAAACATCTAATAAGAAAAAGACTCATTGACCAATAGTAATATGCAAAATCTAAATGGTCAAATAACTCTTCAACTGACTTTATGGCTGTTAATAAACATGTTTAAAAAAGGTATTTGACAAAATGAGTCATGAAAAATGAATAAGAATAATCGAGAAATAATTACAAAAAATATGGAAATTATTCAATTAGGTAGTGATGGTGGTATTTATGGTGTATGGGATCTTTTGTGTAATAGTACTCTGCATTACGTAGTCATGGCATTATTATCTTGCTAAAAGTCTATTGCATTATTTCAACATAAATAAATTTAGTTGCTTATATTTGTTGTTATCACATACCAATATTCCACTTTTACACGTATTAGAAACTGTATGTATAGTGTGTATCCGGTGGACACAGAAAAATCCAGTCAAATTTAAATTGAGATTTCTCTAAAATCACAAATGTTTTTTATTTCTTTAATTAAACGTTACTTCCTTATCTTTAATTGTGTTGATAAACTTTTGTTTACAAATCAATGATTTGCAAAATGTTTCATAAACAAATTAAGGTGCGTAAAAAAATAGTGATTTTTTTTTTTGCAAAATTTGATCGACTTCATATCGCTTGATTGCTAAATGTACATCCAAAAATCTACCGTCATAGATATTATAAGTTTAAGACTACTCAAAGCTTTGAAACAAAACCTGGAAGTGAAGAAAGAAAACTTTCCATAAATCCGAAAATGTAAAGATGATTCTCAGTTCAATAGCAAGAAATCCAAACCAGTCACAGTCGGATTTAGCAAGAAAATTCAAGGCTTCGCGTTCTTATATCAAAAAAATACTTAAAATGATAGAATTGAAGCATTTCATTAAAAAAATACTACCTTTAATTTCACCATTTAAGAAAAGCTTAAATGGTGAAACTAAAGGAAAAAAGTAGGTTAAAATAATGGCGGATAAAAGTATGTGCATAATTGAAGATAACAAAACATATTTTCAAGACTTTTGACTACTTCCTGGTCAACAATTTTAGTATGAGAGCAAAGACAAACCTGTCGATGATCAATTTAAATATATTTGACGAGAAAAATTTGCATCCAAGTTCTATGTGCGGCAAGCAATTTGTAGCTGTGCAAATCCTCTTGTATTATCACTAAGAAGATTTTGTCTGCCGATTTCTAGATTAAACAATGTCTTTAAAAAGACTTTTTTCATTTATGAAAAAATACAAATACTGATGTCTCTTTTGGCACAATCTTGCTGCTTCTCACTATTCTAAAAAAGTTCTGCAGTGGTGCAAAGATAAAAATGTGAAAATTGTTTCTAAATATGCGAATCCTCCAAATCGTCATGAAGAGCGCAAGAATATAGATTTTTGGGCAATAGTTAAAGGAGTTTTTCGTAAGACAGTTGGAGTAACAAAAAATAAAAAGGACTTCCAGAAAAATTGGATTAATGCCACCAATGTGGTGAAAAAAGAAAAAAATTTGCGAAATGATGGCATCAACCCGCTATAAAACTCGATCTCTTGCAAAACAACCCATTGAAAATTAAGTTGAAACCCTAATTGATGTAAACGCATTGAATATTAAAAAAAATGAAATAATAAGCATTTATGGTTTTAGAGAAACCTCAATTTAAAGTTGACCGGATTTTTCCGTGTCCACCCGATATGTTCATATTTTTAAAATCTAGCTTTACATACAGTTATTTTATCTCATGTTTGTATTAAGCTTATGTATATAATGTAATATAATTGTTTTAATTTTTCATATAAGGTTTTTTGTTTGTTTCATTCATATAGCACTTGTATATATAGTGTACTATAAACAAAATAATAATCTTTGAGTTTTCCTTCAAGTGCAACCCAACCCTCAACCAGACCTTCATGTTTAACCCATTCTTTATATTTAATTTTCGAATGAGTTTTCTTTTTATACAAACCAATCAGATTTGTGTTTACAAAGGTATATTGGGAGTGGGCAAACATCAATTTTTTTAAAAGAAAATGACTTTTTATAATCTTCCTTTAAAACCATATTAGCAAAAAGAAGTACCAAAAGTTATGCGTGGTAAATTGTATGGTTATTTATATTATCTGACTTAATATTATTGACTTAAAATTTTTAGTACTTTAAAATCTTTTCAAACAAATATGATATATATTGTTCTAAAGCCTTTGAATTACAATAAAAGTACTAATTTCGTATGCTATAATGTACTGGATAATTAACATTACTGTTTTGTATTATTCCATTAAACTTTATTTTTGTACTTTTGTCACACTCTGACTGCTTTGTTTAAACAATTTATAAAGTAGTGTTACAGAAAATTTAATCATACAAATACAATATTTTAGTACACTAGAAAAATGTGTATAACCACTTACTGCATCAAAACAAAGTATCCTAATGTTTACTGTATCCTCTGCTTAAAAACTAATGATAAAACACATTAATTATTAATACTTTGAAATAAATATAAATTCTAAAGTGATTAAATAAAACTATTTTACTGAATTATTAATATGATCCTTGAAACTGCGAAGTTAAATATTTAATATCTGGTTCTATTTATTTAGCTTATTGTAAGAAATAAGCTAAAGTCTCCTCTTATTACATCCACAGTCATGCATCAAGATCGAAATTCTATCTATTTTTAAGAGTTCTTTTTGCCCAATTAGTTCTTACGGTTTTATCACAGAGCAACGCGAAAGAGCATTTCAAAGGAAGTTCTTGCCTTCTTCCTTACCGATGTAATAAAACTTGCCCAGAGGCGGTGTTCAACCACGGATCTCTAACATCATAGCGTGGTTGTTAGGCAAGCGCCCTAACCACTGCGTTATTGGTGCTCAGCTTATTTAACATTAACATATCTTTCGAAAAATCTTCAAACTGTTTTTTCATGTCAGATTTAAGTTCATTAAGATGGCTTCTGAATTTTTCAATATTTTCTATTAATAAAGGTACTTTATCTTTTTTAGATGATAGTTCAGGAAACTGATAAAACAATCTATTTAATAAATTACAACTGATAATTTTTTATTAGTAGCTTAGAGTTGTAAATTTATATCATTAAACCTCTCAAAAAAATCTGCCAAATACAAAGACTATTGTTGGCAGGAAGTGGTTTCGTTGCTACTTTCAAAAAATTGTATGATACTATCATATAATTTATCATGTACTTTTTGGCATCCATCGAGCTTCTGTGTGCAAATCTTATAAAACCTTTATTACTTTTCCGGCACAGCAAAACATTCTATCATTTTGATGAAGACTTTCACCTAAATTTTTTCCAACAAGATGTTGTCTGCGCTCCGCACAATGAATACATGACATATTTGGTATTTCAGACTTCAAGCAACAATATTATTTTAAAGAAATATTTTATTTTGTAAAGTATGATTACACAGGACCATAGGTTATCCTAGTCATATTTTAAATATCCGGAAAATTGTTTAAATAAAATATCCGGAAAAAATCCGGAATTTGTTTCCCTTATTTTCTTTTTAATTTCGCTTTTAGCTAAGTGATGCTAATTTTTTTAAATACTTTTCATAATTTCTTTATGAGTGATGAGTGAAAAAGCTTAAAAAACAAATATATTACAAAAATATATACCTCAACTTGCATTTATTAAAAATGTTTTGGATATCCGGAAAAATTATAAGTTGAAAAAAATATCCGGAATTCCGGAAATATCCGGAAAAAGATAATCCCTGCACAGGACTAAACAAACAAAAAAGTTAACTAAGGAAAGGTTAAATAACTAATAAATTTATTACAAATGTCAACTGGCATAAAGTCAAACTTGAGTTTACGATTAAAAAAAAAAAAGTGTAAACAATTAGGTTTCAGTACAACATCAGCAATGGGACGACAAAATAAAATAAAAAAACAACTAAAAATCAGTTGTAAATGAAATATGTTGATGAAACAATTAAAACTTTTACTTGCAGTTAGGTTGATTTCATATTTTCTCTACAAATAAAAAACTATGTAAGTGATAAAAATATTAAACTAAAGTTTTTTACGTTTTTCACCTAAATAAAAAAAAAAAAAAAAAGTAGAATATTTTTGCAGTCTTTAAACTTTTAACTTCAAAAAATGTCATGCACTGTTGTCTAGCAAACTTAAAAAATTTAATAACTATTTGTTTTTATTATGTGTTGATAAAGTTTTTTTTGTTTGTTATTTTAATTCTTATTTTCTAAAAATGCGTTCGACTACTTTTGGACATTATTTCTAAAAATTTAGTCAAACTTCGAATTCTAATATCTAGAGAATCAATATTTCTTGAAATAATTTTGGAATAAAGCTTTTAGTATAAATAGTAACATTATTAAAAAAATATTTCTTAGAGGAGATCACTATTAAAAATTGTATTTGTGCCTAATTTATATAGAAAATCGCTATAAACATTTTTCTATTTCCAATATAAATACAATGTTTTAAATTTTAACTTTTATTTTCAAGTGCATCGCTGTTAAATATGTTGGAAAACACTAAACTCTTGTTTAGTAATTGTAACTCTTGGCAACTTGTTTAGTAATTGTAACTCTTGGCAACTTTTGAATCATGAGTTACTCCAATACTTTATAAATTTTTATACAAAATTTATAAAATAGAAATGAAAAAAAAAAAAGATTTATTTAATAAAATTTAATTTTTTCTAGAATTTGAGAAAATTCAATATTTCTAATAAATACTTTTTGGCAGCTAACAAGAAGTCTACATAAAATCCGCAGCTGAGGCACGTTTCTTTAGTGTGTTTGAAACAGATTTAAGTTTTTCAAAAATTTCAGAACTACTTGGCACACTCTCGTCATCTTGCTTTGACGACGATTTTTTGTCTTTATGACTCACCGGCGATTTATATTTATCGGACACTTTTTTCTCTCGAATGTATCTGGCATCGTCATCTGATTCACTAGAAACATTTTTCTTTTTATCTTTTCCACTCTTCTTTTTCTTTTTTTTCTTACTCTTAGATTTCGATTTTTTTCTCTCGTTTTCGACCCATTCATCTTTGGAATCCTCTTGATTTTTGGAGCTGTTGCGACCAGATACTAAATAAGTATTCGATTTATTATCTTTTTTATATGGTGATGTTTCAAACCTTCCTTTATCGTCTCTATGAAACTCATTTGTTTCTAATTTTTTATTAATTTTAATTTCAGATTGATTAATAAAAGGTTCTTTTGAGTATTTAGAAAATTGAACTTTGACAGGATCTTTAGTAGAATCCTTAGTGCATTCGAGTTGGTCTTCGTTAAGAAATGCCAGAGAAAAAATTGGTTTATCTACTTTTTTGTTCAAGGAATAATCAAGTTGATTTGTGGTACGATTTTTGGAAAACTTATTATTATTGGGCATTCGAGATGATTCACTATAAACTGCATTATTTGTTTTATCACACTCGATGGTATTTATCGCTTCAATAGATTTATTCGCTGTTAAAGATTTATATTCTTGATTTATTTTTAAATTTTGTTCTTTAGAAAAGAATTCCTGTTTAATTTCTACTATTTCCGGTTTATTTTCGACAACTTTAGATTCATTTACTACCATGTCTTTAACATTTTCTTTTTCTTCTTCGTCGGAACTACTTTCTGAAGTCGAGTTGTCAAAGATAGCCTTGAAGATATCAATGCTAGGTACCTCGGACTTTTCTTCTGAATGTACAGTTTGAGGAATAGTTGGACCGCTGTCTAAAAATGATTAAAAATGACAAGATCATTAAAAAAAAAAATTAATTCAATTTTTAGTGAATTGTTCGTACGAGCATAAATTAGAAAATCAATTTACCATTTGTATCATTAAGATGCGATAACGGACCAATAGTGAGCTTCTTTTTCTGAAGTATCGATTTACTTTTAATAACTTCAACAATGTTTTCATCTTTTTCTTCTTCCAGATGGTTTTTATCAGAAACCTTGTTTTTGATCATTAACAGCCCCTCTTCAAAAGAAGATTCTGTGAAGAACCCATTCTTTTTCTTAATTCGGTCAGGTATTCCTTTTGTTTTCATATTCGGATAAGGATCTGGGATGTTGAACCGTTTGCATAACAACTGCTCCGGTCTCCATTCGACCACAGTACGCGTTAGAGAACCAAACATTCCTGACTGAGCTGCCTTTTTATCGTTCATTACGGTACTGTTATCTGATTCTTTATGTTTATCATTTTCATCAGCCGAAAGCATAGTTGCATGTGTAAACCTATTTTTTAATAATGAAGACGAGATGGGCCGATAAAGAATAGCAGCTCTAGCAAACTCAGCAAGCTCTCTTTCACGTTCCCATTCAGTAACAGCA